GCCGCAAAGGTGATGAGAAAAATAACGCTCGGATGCAGTTCTGGGCGAAGGAAAAGAAAAATCGTTACTCGTGCGACGAAGGGTAATGAAAAAAAAAAGGACCGGGGAGAGGAGATGAGTTGAGGTGGATAGCGAGACAAAGAAAAAAAAATTGATGGGGAGAAATAATATAATAAACGCATATGTTGACGTATAATTATGTATAGTGTTATCTCATATTAATAATAAATAAGCGATGCTGGTGCGCCGATAATGTAAGAATGAGCGCTCGGTGTGCCGGGTAAGCTCTGTACGTGACGATAATCGTGCGCTGATGGCGAGGGTATCGCCGTTGCAGTAGGGGGGAGGGGGAGAATTTGGAAGGGCTGCGGGCAAAGAATCGAAAATTTAACTTGAAATTTTGTGGGCTGAAGGGTGTTGCGAAAGGTGAGAGGAGGCAGAATTGCGCACGTTAGTCAGGGTACAGAGCAGACTCGAGCTTTTCGAGCGTCAAAAAGTGCTCAGGCGCGCACCTCGGGCTCGAGGACAAGCACCTACGTCTACTACGACGTGCAGACTATGATGGGGGGGTATATTGGTTCATGGAAAATTGTAAGATTCAGGGAATAAAGACGAGGGCAGGCTCGTTGCGGCATTAACTGGCTCGTGCGCCTTTCGGTCGCCGGAGTGAGTTAATGAGTCGTCAATCGGCTTGGCAAAGTGATGTGCTGAATGAGAAGTTCAAACGCGGAGGTGATGAGTCGGAAGTAATGTATATAGGAGAGGGTAAGATTGGTAATTGATAGTATTTGATTGCTCATGAGCTAGAGATTATTTTTTTTTTTTTTCAGTACGAGCGGTCGTCCTCGAGCCCAATTTTCGTCTCATTGTTTTATTTTTACTTTACTGTTTTTTTTTGTTTTTTTTTTTGTTTTTTCTTTTTTTTTCTTTACTGTATACTTACGTATATTTCATACTCGAGTACATGTATGTTTGTATTTATGTATAATTATTATGTATATAGGCTTGTTTGTTCCTTACGAACGATCATCTCTTATCGCGCAAACGTTGTGTTGCTTCATCTCTCTTGCTTAACTCTTCGTTGATTAAGAATATAAATTTGTTCGTTACATATAGTAGGTATCGTATACACGTTTAATAAACATAATTATTGCTATTACTCTTCTCGTGTCTTCCTCGTAATGATGAAGGAAAAATAATAAAATCAAAGGATAAATGTGGCCTGGGTGGGGGGAGGTAGGAGAATACGAGGATGATTGGAAAATCCTGTTGGTCGCGCAGTTATCATCGAGTGCGATCAAGTTCGAGGATACATGTTTATCTACTCATTTGTTTATTCGCTCGGCGTGCGGACAAGTTTTCGCCTCCCTCTTTCCCAGCGCTCGATCGACTCGACGAGAAGTGCGTCGACCTACATGTTACTTCAATTCCCAGTCAAGGGTTGAAGCACATCATCATTATCATGAAACTGCTATTGCTTCGTACACCGTATAATGATACGCGTGTACGCAGCTCAGATTTGCACTGGCGCGACCGGAATACTCGCTTCTTTGAATTGAGAAATTTTCAAAAATTTAGAGGAAAAAAATAGAAAAGAAGAAGCGAGGATCTTGATCGCGTAAGTCGCACTATTTTTTCTCTCCGTATATATATATATATGTAAAATCGCGTCGACGTCGCTCATCCGTGTACACAATGACAGTGGAGTTGGGGGAAAAGGAAAGTACGAGCGACGCGAAACACGACACAAGAGCACCAGATTACATATTATTATATTAATACGAATACTACGCAAGTGTTTCTCTACTCGTACGTATATTTAAGTACAACACACACATCAGGTATCGTATAATTGCCGGACTTGCGTTAATTTATTGGCTCTACCCTCTTACCACAAGCGTATGGGATATAATAGGTACTTATACTGTTTTAGCTGGGTTGCCGGATCTGCATGGAGAACGAAGGGAAGGAAAAATAATTTGTCACCGGGTTCTCTAGAAAAAAAATTAAATAAAATAAAAATTAAAAAATTGCACCATCGTTGAGTAAAATTTTAACGCTTCGAATAAATCGTCGTTGCTGCCTTTTTCCCTTCCCCCCCCCCCCCTTTCCTTCCCCATTACAACGAGTCTTCTTATTGAAGAGGGAAAGATCTTGCGATCCTTTTTCAATGATTTTACTCGGAGCGATCAAACCTACAAACTGGAATCCTTCTTATCCTCCCCTGCCCCCCGCAAAGCTTTTATCTAAGAATTTATGTATACGATCAGAGACCGGGAGGACGGCGAAACAACTCGTTTGACTAGCCATCGAGCGACCAACGCTTGACAAATGCTTGGAATAAATACGCGAATGCAAACGAAGGAATTAAATCGTAGCTGTGTAGGCACGTTATAAACTGAAAATCAGCCTCAGAATTATTACTGTAATCCTTTGTTATTATTATTATTATTATTATTTTTTTTTTTTTTTTGTTATTATAGTTTCTCGTACATTATTAAACATTGTGTACCATTGTGAAAAATTGGCCTGTTATGCTGTATCAAAGTAACAGCAGCAGCAAAACAAACGCGATTCGCGACGGAAACTCGATCCGAAGCAAAGCTACCACACGCAGGAGGAAACTCGATATTCCGGTCTTTCTTTTTCCCCGCGCGATACCCACGTAATCGCCCGTGCCTCCGCTCTCCGTCCGCGTTCGGTGCGCATGTGTATATAATTATTAACGTTATCTCAATTAAAGCCTGGCGGGGGCGCCGGCGTCTCACGTTATGAAAACAGGCTCTGCCGCTGCTGTTTATCGAATTTCACACGCATAGGTGGCCGCGCCTAGTAGAACCGAGGGGAGAGATGGAAGCAAGACACCGCACGATGATGATAAATGCAAAAAAGACGTGTTGCCGAGAGCCGATCACCGGGGGAAAAAACAGGGAAGGCCGACAGAGAGAATAAGGCATATTAGGCAATCCTCAATCTAGCCCCGCCGTGCTTCTGTCTCTCCCCTCGATATAATACATCAGCGCATCCCTGCTCTACATACGATGTATACACCGTCTTGGAGATCCTCCGCCGGTCCCCCTCCGAGCACATGGTCTGCATAATCACCCCCAATTCCCAATGCTAATTAGGATCCGCGCTTCGGAGCAAATATTCCTCGACCTTCATCACCTTGTGGCCCACCACGCCTCGTCGTGTCTCGCCCTCCCTGTATGGATCTACTGCCTTCCTTTGAAAAGCTCTCCGTCCCTCCCCGTGTATCCCTCGAGGTTCCTTTGATGTTGAACGTGTTGCTGCTGCTGCTGCTTGAAATTCCGACGGAAAGTTTTCCTTTTAATTATTTTACTCGCGTAATATCGCCCGGCAAGTCCAGTGTTTGTAAGATGGTAAAACCCCATTACACCGAATCAAGTGGGTTAAACGTTTCAAAGTGAATCGATAGCCACCTGCAAGATAGATTCGCTGTTCCCTGATTGCGTCTGAAAAAGCGAAAGTGTTCCCGTCGATCGGTACGCAACAATTTAATCATAACAAGTAAGAAGACTCGCTGTGGGGAGCAGGTTCACGGGAAAAAGTATTATGAAATAGAAAAAAAAAAAAAAAAAAAAAAGGGGGGACCCGACGGTGATCATTGACGACTGGCACGTAAGTAACGTCGAAGTCATCCCCCCTTTGAATTCAACTGCGTGTCGCGACGTGCCGGGGAGGGTTGATCGAAGGGACGAAAGATTCCTTTTGTCGCCTCCTTGGCACGCCGGTACACTACATCGCGAGATCCATTCTCATTGAGGGGGGGGGGGGTGAAAGAAAAGAAGCACATTAAAAAAAAAAAAAACGCGTCAAACACACCTTTACGGGGCTTTTGAGCTATACGGTGCCTAAAAATTCCCGGCATGCTTTTGATGGATCCTTCCCTTGGAAGTGACAATGCTGTGCTCTCAAGGTCGAGGAGCTGAGGATGTCGGGGAAATATTCATCGTGAGATTTTTCGAAAGCTCTCTCTCGTGCGATGTAAGCACGCTGGTACTGAATCGAATACCTTCACAAAAGCTCAAAAAGCACGATATGTTTTTCTCACGTTGGGAGAATCATTTGTAAATTGTATCCTTATTGAAAGTATTAAAAGTACGTATGTATATATATATATTATCCACGTTTATCACTCACACGAGCAATGTTGGGGAAGACCAGAATAAATGATAGGTTTTGATGAAAGAGATAAAAGAAAATTTATCTCAAAATACCTTAATTACATTCGGCTAATTTTAACACTGCGTTATTCTCCCAATATTGCTCGATTGTATCGATATACAATTGTATCGGCACTCACAAAAAATACAGCACTTGAGGGAAAAAATCGGTATTGTGTCCTACATGGGCGAATCATGTACATATATATATATATATTTTTTTTTTTCTTCATGCCGACTCATCTTCACGGTCCCACTGGAGCCGTTGATCCGAGGCCTTGTACTCATCGGTCCCTCGGCCGATTCGCCCAAATAGGAAAAATACCTGGATCTTTTCAATAAAGAAGCCGTTCGCACCGACACGTTGCACCAGCATATACACAAAATGCATTACTTTAGAAGATGCAATGTGGTATTATGCCGCGAAGCGAGATACGAGATACAAAGTCGCAGGGCGAGGAGAAAACGAAAGGGAGCCAGCGTCCCTCCGCGTTGCAACGAGCTCCCTTACCTCTTCTCGGCCCTCCGCGGACCTTCGTTCTCGAGTACCTTTCGACCATGTGTCACGTCATCGCGACAACAATGATAATCGAGCTCGGGCGTGCAACGTGTACGCGCGAAAGGCTATATATAATACTCAATGCAGCTGCTACGAAGCGAAACAAACATTACACGTACAAGCGCGCGCTGATCATTCAAGATCATCATGCATACATGACGACAGCAGCAATAGTGTTAATCATGATAATCATAATAATTTTGCAACAATGATAATGATGATCATCGCGAGCGGCGGGGGGTGGCGACGAGGAGTCAGAAGCGGCGCGAGTAGGCCTGGGCGTCGTAGAGCTTACAGAGACTGTCGGCCCTGCCGCTGTGGAGCCCGGGCACCGACACCGACACCGAGAGGGCCTCCTGGTGCTTGAGAATTTGACGGCGACGCTGCCAGGTGAAGGCCCACGCGGCTATGACGGCTACCTGGGCCACGAGGAACACGCTGCCCGCGACGAGGGCCTCGGCCGTGTTCATGCAGACACCCATGAGGCCCGAGGTGGCGGCTGGCTCGTCGAGCTCCGCGTACACGTCGTCCCCGAGGTGGTTGTTGAGGTGGTGGTGGCCGTTGGTGCCGTTGCCGGGGTGTCGGGCGTGCTCGCGCTGCTCGAAGCCGAACTTGTCGGTTATTTGGATCGACTGGACGAGCAGCAGGTCCTCCCGGAGCTGGGAGGGCGAGGCCGAGCGACGCCTGCGCCTACGCCCGTACGATATGACGGAGCGCAGCTCGCCCGTCGACTCCTCCTGGTCGCACTGGACGGGCTCGCAGCTCGGCATGCACGGCGTCACCAGGGCCCGGAACTGCACGACCTCCGAGCTCGGGAACTTGAAGGCGTCAAAGTGCGACAGCAGGATCTGCGGGGCAAAGGTTTCATTATCCGTATAGCTTTATGTACATGCAACATTGTAGGTAATTAAATCGTGTGTTTGGTCATTGGTTTGAAAAAAAAAAAAAAAAAAAAAAAAAAAAAAAAAGGATCGAGAGTACTCGTACCGTGTCCCCTGTAATGATGGGAAATAATTGTATGAAGAGTGCCCCTCTAAATGCGTACATTCGAGTGACGGTAACTATATACGCACAGATACGACCAAACTACTCGGGGGGGCCTCTCGAAATGCTCCACGATTTGCAGTCCGTGCGTCTGTTCGTTCTCGAGTGGTATACAGACAGCGGAGCACTAACCAGCTCTCTGGATTCCTCTCCACCCTACCCCCCCCCTCTCTGTTAACTCGGAAATAAAACACAGGGATGAGCGAGAAAATGCGCACGGTGGCCGTCACTAGGCACTATATATACCCGTGTATACTCATGGACTTTCGCAATCCGAAGTTGTGCATTTGAAACGAATAAGCAGCCGCTACTCTCGCGGCAGGTTCATCCCGCGAAATTCCGAAAAACACGCGAGCCTTTGAGCCTCCTCGATACTCTCGTACGTATATAAGTACATATCTGTAATACGTGGCTCCCGTGGATGCGACTCTGTTTGACCTTTTTTTTTTTTTTTTTTTTTTTGACCGCGTCTGGGCCAAGGGATGGCGAAGGAAAAAAGTAGGGACGAGCGGAAACGCAAAACTCGGCAATAACGAGTAATAAAGAGGAAGGGAGGGAGTATATAATATGTACGAGGGATCGTTGAATAGAAATCCAAAGCACACACGTAGCCGTATCTTCGTATCTAAAATAGATCCGCATCGCGGTATCATCGTGCATCTATCTCCGTCCATCTCGGGTGGCTCCGCATGTATACACGTATACACCATAAATACGGCGGTCAGTTCCTTTTCTCTCGCTCGTTGGGTTGCACCACCATAATTTCGCGACCGGCACGCCTCGTTAATTCCCTTAAATCCGCTCGCACGCGATACACAACGAGAGTTAGGATGGTGCACACACACACACACACACACACACACACACACACACACACACACAGAGGTGTTATGTCTATGCACGTGCACAGGGGTGGACGGGGGAGCACGTATGGGCGCTGTGCTCGACCCGAGCGAATTTACGAGCGAGCGAGAAGAAGGCTCGATATTCCTCGCCGCGGAATCCGGGATAACGCACGGCTCAGAATGCGGATGCGCGCTCGCCCTCCCTCCCTCCCTCTCTTCCCCTCTTTCGTTTCGTGTGTTGCTGATGCGGTGGACACTGCGAGAGCTCTCGCGAGCGTGCGGTCATATGTGCAGCGTTAACTCTCTCTCTTTCTCTCCTCTTCTCTTCTTCCTTGGCACTTGGCACGAAGGGTATTCCTATGATGTTGTACACATATTTCCTATCTATCTATCTATATATGTATATATAAATATATATATATATCCGTGTGTATGCATTGCGTGGCTTGTTTCTCCCGCTCTTTATTAGCCGAGATCTTATATGGCGGCAATTATGTGAAATTACGACGGGAAAACGTGAGAAGCGAGAGAGAGTCCCTTGATTTTTTTTCTCTCGTCCTTTCCTGTACCTAGACCTACGGTGAAGTAGTGCGACTTTTCTTTTTTTTTTTTTTTTTTTTTTTTTTCCTCTCTCTTTTTCCTTTTGTGACCCATTTTATGGTTATCGTCACGAGCGAAAATCAGTCCCGAGGAAATTCAGGAAAGTGACGACCGATCGCGCGGGACTTGAGTACAAGTTTCCCTGTCCGATTGGATGTAGCAGCGATTTGCTCGTTCGACTCTCTATTGGAGCCAACTAGCCCAGCTTCCATATATGAATGTTTTTTTTTTCAAATCGCACAGCTTCCCTATCTCATAAATAATCATACCGGGGGGAAGGAAAATACCGGTTTCCCCCTCAGTGACTGTAAAACTCGTGACTTTGAAAAAAGATCTTGCGACATTAAGTCATCATTGCGCTGCACTTGGTGGAGAGACGAAGGGGACAGAATAAAATATTTATACATATCTGCGTCCTGCGGGCCGATCGAATTTCGAGTGTGATAATCGTACATGCTTGTCTTTCATTTCTTTTTTTTAAATTTATTACAGTATGCAACGCGAGTCGTAACAGCGAAACACATGAAAATTTTTTTTTTCAATCACATTATTGCAACGAACGCGCATCTAGATTAAAATTATCGGGGAAGGTTTATCACGTCGCTCGGGTTTCGAGCGCCAACGACACCGATCCACGCTCGTTTACCGCCACCGCTGCTCGGAGAGTGGAGCTGTATAATCAAGATGTAGTTTTTTTCTTCCTCGGCAATGCAATCACACCGGGTAAGTACACGCGAGTTTAACGGAAAATAACTTTGAACGCTCGACTTCCGTCCGAACCGTGCGATTTAGCGACACGCGTCGTCTTGGCTGTGTTCCGGAAAAAGGGTCTTCGAGAGTAAATTATAACATAAGTACGTTGATTAATAGTGTTTTTTTCTTACGTAAAATAAATAATATCGAGCCAACCTTTATTGAAAAGTCGCCGATGTGTCGGATCGGATCAGACAGTCGCGTCACATCGTGAACGCGTGCCGGAAATGGAAGAGCCACTCGAGCCGCGTAAGCTCCCATTTTTGTGCGGTTGAGCGGCCGGTGGGCCCACTTGACCCGCGGCAACATTTATTTCCCAAAGAAACACACCGAGAGGGGAGGCCTCGAGAAAAATGCTTTCAATTTCATTCAAAGCAGCCGCCACCGACGCCTTGCGCGTGACTAACATACGGCCCGAGGTTGGCACGGTGCTTCGGCGGTGGGAAACGAGTTTCCGCAAATTTTCCGAGGAAGCACGCCGGAAGAGCAGCCCCCCCGCCTTTTCTCATTTTTCTTGGGCGCCGGTTAATAAAATCGAGCGCGCGTGTACACACAAACACGTTTACGGGTACGAGAAAGATGCCCATCCTTGCGGCCCCTTGGGATTTATGTTGGCTGCACTTGTACGCTTCCTGCTTCCCCTCCCCCTCCAATCCCATCCACTTGTGACCGCTCCGCGATATTTCATCCGGCAGGGGGGAGGGCGCGAGAGGATCAACGCAAGGTTGTGTGGGTTTTATCAATGGCGCTGTTGCGGTGGCGTCCCTTCGAATGATTGCATTTTCTCTTTTGTCCGCGTTTGTCTTTTAAATCGACGAATTCGACCGGATATTTGGAGCCCAGTCCCGCCGAGGGACACGACCGAACTGCATTTGTCGTGGCGAGCCTTACTTCCGCGACATACATCAAACACGCGCGGGCGGACCGTGGGATGGGCCTGGAAGTTCCGATAAAGCAGCCCATTCCTCGTAAATATCATCGCCCAGCCTTGCAGGTCTGATCTCTATTTGCGGAGCTTCTTTCCTGCTCTCCCGGCTGCATCATACATTGCCTCGTATTTTTTTTTTTTTTTTTTTTTTTTTCACACTACGACTGTAATTTCCCACACCATACAGCACTATTCCCGCGAATGACATACCTAGTGGTTCCCTTTAGAGTTAAACCTGCGCTCGTGTAATGGTCCCTCTGTTATTTCATTTATTCGCGGCACCTGTTATACGCCTGTACAGCGTAGTGTGCGTGTATGTGTATCATATTAGATTGCGCTTCGTGTACTTTCGATTTCCAATACTTGCCTATTGGAAAATGAAGTATGCGAGGTATGTACGGGGGGGGGGGTTAGTTTCAATGCGCGTTGGTGTTGTTGCGTGATGCGTACAATACATGTGTAAGGTACACGCAGATTGTATGTATATTTTCCCGCGATAAGTTTTGCAAACTATGGTACTCGGGGCTCGAGCATAGTTGAAATTTGGATCATTATTTAACGTCACAATTTATTGCATGTATTAGGTATGCGGTGTGGTGTATGAAGTTTTAATACGCGGTCAATCGAGGGGGTACGGACGACGCCTCGGTATACTTTTGCAAAGTTTATATATATTATATTAGTCCCAAACAGAGCACTACTTGTTCGATCGTAAGCAACAAAGTTTACCAACTAAAGTTGAGTGTTATTATCGAAAGTTACTCTGCTCATGTGTACGTGTGTACATATACAGATGGATAAACTACAGCGGCATGTGCTTAACTTAGAATAAGTACCTACCCATACGAAAATTTATACAATTTTACAGCTAAGCTGTCCATGGTACCCCGATCGGTCCATCTTGTAGATATGCTCAGTCAAAATACGGTAATTAGCCAACGTGCGTCGTGTGTATTTCTCCTGTGTTTTTCCGAGAGAGAATATTTGCGATCGGCACGCGTCCGCTCGCGGCACCATGATCCTACCTCGCCAACACACGGGGGTCATAATTACAGCACCAACAAACGACGAGCCTGTGTAGCATCCGCGCGTCGTCTTAGTCCGCATACGGGACGAGGAAGGGGGGGGGGTGGCAAGGGACCCGCGAGGTGTTAATTATAGCCGTGTATGGCTTGTTAAACGTGGGCCTCTTGGCTCGGGCGAAAACGAATGAGCCCGTCTCGCCGTGTCCTGGATCAGCTTGCACTCCCCGGCTGCCTACGGTATTGCTTGTTAATGAAGCAATATTGTGTCTCCTCTACCGCTCTCTCACGCTCGCGGTACCGTTGCCATACATCAGATGCGACGTTTTATCAGCCGCGGACAGGAGAATTAAGGAGCGGAAAGGAGAACGCGCGTGTGCGCCGCACGTACAAAGAATGGCAGGGCGGGGAGGGGGGAGAAAGGCAAAATCTCGAATTGTAATTTTCCTCGGGCTGTCGAGGATTTTTCTCGCTTAAAATGTCAGTTGCTCGCGGAGACGCTCGCGTATACGTGACTCTCGTTTCGCTTTGTGAGCTTTTCCGGTGGTACTTTATACATATATATATATATTCTCCTCTCGGGCAAAGTCGTCGCGCTCGCGCGGGCGTGAAATTTTTTTAATGGAAAAGAACACTCGCCTCTCGACGAGAGACCAGTTTAAAATTCAACCCTTCCCTCGTTTCGCTGCTCTATACTCTAATTTTTTTTTCTCCTTTACTTTCATCCCCCTCCTTCTTTTAGCTGTGAGCGCGTGTGTGTTCTCGGGTAATTACAAGCCAAATTATTTAACTCTCGTAGATTTTTTTTTTCTTTTCTCCCTCCCTAGGGCCGGGAAACGATGATGTTTCTTCGAATGAACATCGTGTATACCTGCACCATGGAGGTCCTAACGAGATGTTTACGTTTCTTCCTTCGCAACATCGAGTGTCCATCTAGCCATCATTCGGTCTAAATGTTTGAGGGGATTTTCTTCGCCCCCACTTTTTTTTTTTTTTTTTTTTTTTCAAGCCCTCGTTAGAAATTTTTTCTGTATAGCTGGCTTTTTATTCCGCGTTTTACCTTTGAATGGAGGCCACCGTTTCGAGAACCTTGGCCCGAGGGCCCTTTTTAGGTTCGTTTAACTCGGTAACGGAGTCTCACCGACAATTCACCCTCATTAGCAAGAATTTCGCGAGATCATTGGATCGCCACCGCATCGAGCAAAAATATTACCCTCTGGCTGACAAATGGGCAGTAAAAGTGGGGGTAGGAAGGAACAGTCGCCTTTTTATCGCGTCGTAGAATCCTGGATGGCTGTAGGTACGCATGCAAAGACGTGAAAAAAAAATGGCGACTTCCCTGTCGAAATTAATAAGCGCGAATAGTCTGCCGGATAGCGCGTCTCTCGCTCTGCTCCTGCCGGGGGTGAAAAGCGCGAGTCGATGAAACGCGTTACGTGCATACACGGCGCGTCCCCTCTATTCGCCGTGCTCTTATTTCCGCGTGGAGGAAATGATGGAGGATGAGATCGTGTTTCTGCGAAGAAACTACCCCCCGCTTCCACTGCCGATTTCGCATTTTTACGGCGACGATGATGATAATCGCATATTACACATCAGGCGTCGTTGCGTCGACGCAGGTGAATCGGCCGCCCCCTCGCACCGGCACGCGTCATTAAATCCATCGGCGTGATTGATTAGCCCGAGACGAACGATCGTTAACCAGCTGAGATTTTTTTTTTTCCTCCTCTCCTTTCCCGATCCTCTGCTTGTGGCGAGTTGTATGTTTGTATGATATATTCACACACAGAGGTACGCGCACACCTTTATGTACAAACACGCGTACATTGGACGCGTGCGCTCGCAACGGTGCAACGTCATTCCTCGCCTACGGCTCCTTATCGTCATTACAATTTACACTTGGCACTATTAATCACCCCGCTCTTGATCCGCTCTTTCTTACCCCCTCCTCCCCCCCAGCTCCTCTCGCGCGAGTATTTACGGACTCATTATTTTTGCCAACGCTAGTCATGATTACTTCGGGATGATTTTTTGGTTCATTTATTTATTTATTTGTTTTTTTTTTCCTTTGCTCCAACTCCACCTAAGCATACCCCATACACTCCGATCGCGTCATGATTTACTCGTACAGGTACGCGACGAGAATTATAATTAGCAATCGCTCGCGGGCTTAGATTTCGATGTTGAATATCTATATACATAATTTATGATGATGGGCATCGGAGTATATACCGAGAGTTGGAAACCGATTTGAATTTCCGTGATTTGGTTGAGGAAGGGAGGGAGGGGCGCGTATATAATTTGTAATTTATCAATTGCGCGCCGCGGGAGGACTAACATGCCCGATGGCGAGAGCTGATGTTTACGATGAATGAAAGGATGAAAACGGGGGGGAGTAATTACAAGACACAAACTCACTTTGCCGGAGGTGGATGACTTGTAGAGAGGACCCATGATGACGTGGTCGGTGGGGCAGCCCCTCGAGTCGATGAGGACGATCTCGCTGGAGTCCACGCCGTCCATGGCGACGAGCTCCCGGACAAAGATCTCGTAGGGACTGTTGGGGTCGAGGATCTCGAATTTGAGGGCGAGCGGGTCGCCAACTTCGGCCGATGGTATGGCCTCGTTGCCGCTGCGGTCGGTTATCTTCATGGCCACGTTGGGCGAGTCGACGACCACCTCCTCGGTCAGCACGGGGTTGATGTCGCGATGGACCCCGAGGTCGACCTCGTTCGACACGGTCTTGTTGGTCAGGTCGTATTGGCAGGTGACGGCCAGCCCGAGGTCCGAGCTCGTGACTATCGTGTCGTGGTGTTGGATTATCACGTCGTTCAGGTAGCGGCCGAGGCCCTGCTGTTTGACGTTGCACTCGAGATCGTCGTAGGCCATGCGCAGCTCAAATTCGAGGGCGCCTTTGACGTCCTGTACGCACGAGTTGGGCGAGCCCTTGGCGTACACTTTGCCGTTGAAGAGCTTGCTTGTCTGGATGCGCGCCACCATGTCCCCGGCCAGGCAGTCTATGGATACATTGTAGCACGAGCTCAGCTCGTAGGTCGAGGCCTCGGGTACGTCGAGGTATGGCTCCTGCGTGGATGTATTCTCTCGTTATGTTTTTTTTTATTTTTTATTTTTTTATTCATTTAGTCATCTAAATTTTTTCGCTCAAACGGCAACAACGAAATTTCAGTTTACACGAAAGGAAAAAAAAAAACCGAGCAACTTTCAGACAGCTCTGATATTGATGATAAATAATTGCTCATTTAATTAGTAACCAATTAAGTTGTGCTTTGATGCTTCGTGCTGTTTGATGTGAAAAATTTGTCAATAAAAGAGGGGCTATCGATTGGTCTTAAAGCTTACCTGTATGTCGGACAAGGTAGCTCTGGCATGATGACTCAGCCGGCAGACCATGTCACCAGTGTCACCGTAGTCGTAAGAGTGACACCGGAACGGCGAATTGAGGCAAAGCTCGCGGCACTCCTCGGTTGTAGCGACGTCCTGGTAAACCGAGTCGACGGTCTTGAGGATGCGACCCGTGATCTTTTTGAACTCGCACAGTTTGACGGGCTCGTCCACGCAGTGATTTTCGAGGTAGTCGACGCCCTTGACTGCCTCCAAGGCCCCGGAACCAGCCACAGTCAGTCTGTCCATGTCCGAGAGTTCGCACGCTCCCGTTGCGTTAACGTAGTTAGCGGATCTGCAACGAAAATAAAACAAAACGCTTTCTTTATTTCATATGTATTTTCTGGTTGTTTTTTTTATTATTTTATTTTTTATTTATTCACCACATTCCAACGGATATGTGTTAAACATTGTTATCATACCGTACAAGCTTCGTCTCTTAACAGAGTAAATCTCTTTTTTGGCCCAAGTATACTTTGGATGATCAGCAGATGCGTAGGCAGATTTCATTCGCACACGGATGAATTAAATTGTAGGATCAATAGTGTGGGCGTAAGGGCAAAAATATATGCGTGCGTGCGTATTTACATATACATATATTTCACATAGCCATAGTGCATGTACTACACAGTGAGTAGGTGTGTATCCTCGTGAGAGCTTGATGCTCCGAGACATCAGAGAGCCTATGCACGTCATTTCTCTCGCGCGCGCTATTAATCTTGGCCCCTTGATACTCGCCCCTCCCATCGCTCGGGAATTTTCGCGCTGGGCTTGCGGGGGTAATCGAGTACCAGGCTCGGGAAGAGAGCATAAGGGAGAGGATGCACCCTCGAGAGCTCATATGCCCGCGATTAATGAATTAATCCTCCTCGGCCGACGCGAAATTGACGCCCGAGTCTTTTTTTTTCCCTCCCTTTTTTGCCTTTACAAGCTCCCTTTCCCCGAGAAAGCGAGAAAAAGACGGAGTTGGTGGCAACTTCTCAAGGGTACAATGCTGATCTTTGTGTTTGGCAGAAATTAGAGCTAACGAGCGCAGCGGAGGAATCGCACTCGCGCAAGACAAACGCAATGCTAATTGAGTACGTATATGCACACAAGCGTCAGCCAGAACTCTCCTCGCGGGCGACGTAATGCGTGCGTATTATTACAGTTTGTGCTAATGGAAAGATCAAGCTCGGGCGCACGAAGGCCTTATTATACCAAAGCTCTCGTGTGCATACATATATACATGCACTTGGCTGGCTTGGGAATCGCTGCTGATGACTTGTGCATATTTCGTTAGGGCACTGTCGGGTGAATTCACGCAATTATTCAATTGCACGATGAACGCGCGAGTGTACTTATGAGCGCCACCGTATAGCTGGGTAATATTGGCTCTGGCACTGTAAATTAACAAGCCGTTTACGTTGTTTTTACGAGTCACACACGTAATACGCGCAAGCAAAGTATGTAAATCTTACATTACCGGTTTAATCAATGCTATGCCCTGCTTGTGCGTTGTATGGCTGTATGTAATCCATTGTAATTATTATTTTATTTTTATTTTTTTTTTCCGCTAAAATACCACTTTTACTAATGAAAATTAAAAAAGTACAACTTTTGTCTACGGCGAAGCTGTGGGTTGGATCTCGAGAATGACTTTCTCTTAATGATTCGCATAAAGGAACGACTTGATAAAAGCTGCAGTTTTTTTTTTCATTCGCGACTCTTTATTGTGAATTTAAAGAAAGAAGGAAAAACGACGACGCGGTGAGTGGGGGAAAGAGTCACCAGAGAGGGAATAAGTATATAAAAACATAAGAAAAGCCGAGAGAAACGAGCGAACGGATTCAGGAGAAAAGAAAAAGTCTATATCGTTTTATGAGCCACGGAGTTGGCCTCATTATTCCGTGCTGTTGCCGCGCGAGCTTTGCAAAAGACCGGATCGCAGTAAAGCTTCAGGTATTATATGGAAGTCCCTACCTATCTTTCATCGTCGCGGCGCGCAACTGCGGCATAAGCAGCGCAGTATAGTGCACTTGAATGCGAGCGCGGAAAAGGGAAAAGAGGGGAAAAGGAGGTTGACACGGAAAAGTGGATGGAAGCAGAGACGGCACGAAGGGGGGAAGGAGCAAATTGATTTCGCGTCTCGCCCGTCATCGATTCGGGATTATGTTGCTCTAAGACCTGAATAATATTCATGAACAGCCTCCCCCTCCCTCCTCCGTTATGATTTCAATATACCCTCGTTCTTGCGGTGGCAGCGACGTACACACTCGAAAAATCCCGGTCCCCTACACCGATGGTAGTTTTTATAATATCCCAGCCTTCATAAACTGGATTGCCTATATAATCGAATGCCCCGACCTTAAGTTTCGCGCGCTCTACATATATATATACACCTCTCTCGTTTAGCCCCTTTTTTTCACTCTCTCTCGCTCTTGCCTCCTTCACGAAAAGCTCCGCGTAATCGTACTCTTATTGCTCATCTTTGAATTCAGTCTAGATTTTTTTTCTCCTCCGTTCTTCCTCCGTTCGTTTCAATGAGGGAATTTCGATCAAACTGCACAAATGCCGAACATGCAGAGGAGAAAAATCGCTCTACGCGAAGTACAGCTAAGCAGATTATCGATACGCTGTATGTACTGTTGGGGAACTCGTTAAAATGACTACCGATCGCAAATCGCGAAATCGGTAATTAACGATATTTCGTTTAGTTTTCAAGCACGTATATACCGTAGCCGAAAAACAATGGAAGTTTGGTAAAATCGCGTGACAACGTGATGGCACTTGACCAACTTTACCGGGCAAAAAGTTTTCCATCGGGAAGAAATTTTAATTTTCCAGTCAGACGTCGAAGGCGATGTCGCAACTTTGATGCTGGACGACCCGTCCGCTTGCTCCGGGGCAGAAAACTTGTAGCAAACTATTTCGAACAAATGACAAGACAAAAAGAGGCCACGAATCTCAACGAGTCGAGCAAGGATGGGACGGAAAAAAAATTCGGAAAGCAAGTACGAAAAGAAAGGAAAAAAAAGAGGCGCTGCTGGAAAAGAATTGCAATTGGCTCGTTCCGCTGCATCTCAATGGATCTCGGATTATTCCTCGGCACGGCTTCGCATTTGCTTTTTGCGGTTTATGGATGCTGGAGGCAGAAATCACGACTCCCGCTCTCTTTTTCCCCCGACACAACTTTATTTACCTAATAATGTTACAGTGTTATTTCAAGTCTTTTTTCCTCACCGACTTATTCGATCACCAATGCCATTTCATTTATCTCTGTACAAACGACCACACTTTTTGTTCATAACGTGTTGGTTAACATTTCACTGGAGAAAAAAACAAAAAACAAAAACGTTTAAGCTACAAGAGGAAAAGCAATGTGCCCAATAGATTACCAAGCAAAGCACAACAACTCTTTGGCTTTGATGATTCTCGGGACACAGTAATCCATAATTTAAATAACAAAGTCGTGGGTAGAGGACAAGAGAAAACGAACAATCCCAAGGAGCTAGAGGATCAAGAATAGGACTCTGAGATAATACATCTGCAGAGTTAAAAAATAGAAAAAGAGAGAGAAAGAAAAGGGACCTCTGAACTCTATTACACGGTGCAGGCACTCTGGGGCGCCTCCTTCATTAATCACCGAGCCGCGGTACGCACAGGCTCTCACGTGCATGCATCGACCTTCATTCGTGCTTAGCCTATACCTCGCTCTCGGTTTCTGATCCGCTCGCACATTTATCTACTCCTCCTCTTTGTCCTCCTACTACTTTTTTTCTTTTCCTCTTCTGTATTTTATTTTTTCACCCTCGGCAAATCTCTAGCTATTACTCCGCGGAGCATGGAAGCGCAGTGTCTCATCCTGTGTCCCCGTCGACGTCGTCCGCGTGTACGCGATCCCGTGATGCATCGCCGGATGCGCCACCCCCCTCCGTACTCCTCCGTATGCCCCGGCAGACAGACCCAACGTCCTCCCGACAAATGGCCCACAATTACGCACGTGTGCCAATACACGACCATCCATCCCCCCCACCCCTCCCCTTTCTTCTTCCATCGCTGGATATCCATACAGTATATACCCTCATCCTCTTCTATCTGCATTCCGTGAGCTTTGGCTGCCACTGCGCGGCTATCCCGGCGTTTGTCTTCCTCCTCTGGGAAAATACCGGGCAATACGACCCGTCGAGGGTAATTTTAACCAACCAGTGGCCCCCGCATATATGGAGGGCGAATGGCCGAGGAGAGCAAAATGAAAGGGAGTAGGTGTACAGCGTATGCGCAAACGCAAGAATATAGGTAAGCAAAACGAAAAAAAAAAAAAAAAGGAAAACCTTTGCACGTCGCGTCCTCCAATTTGTCTCTTGGGCGCGGCCGTTTGTTTTCTTCCTTTCCCCCTTTTTCGAGACATATTCTCGCGTGTCCTCCCCCCCCCCCCCCCACAACCACTGCAGAACGAGCGTTGTTGTATTGCGCGGGCGAATCTGATATTCGGCCGCGTCCATTCGCTCTCTATTTTCTTTCGTTTTCGCCCGTCGTCACGCTCGACCGTCAAATTAATCTCTCGAGGTCGCCGCTCTCTCGCATCTGCCTTGTTTTTTTGTCGCGCGAAATTGCTTTGTACGCACAGGATCATTTGTTTCGTTTACCCAAAAACTGCTTAACGTATGATGCATCAAATACACGAGGAGGGGCGAAAGAGAGAGAGAGAGAGAGAGAAAACATTGTATCGTCAACCAATTACCGCGGGAGAATCAGAGACGTGTTTATGGTAGGGGAACTCGTTAAGGCGTTGGTCTCGATGTCCGATGAGAGAATACGAGCTCGATGGGAGTAAGACGGAAACAGTAGGTATGAGGTGTGCAGGTACAGTGCAAGAGAGGCGAGAGGGTCTAATCGGGCGCGCGATGTAATTACGATAACGTTAATGTCGGGGAGTAGTGGTGCGCGCTCCTTCCCTCTTTTGCGGCCGAGAGGGAAAAGAGGGTGAACGGAGAAAAGGAAAAGGACGAGATAAAGACCATCAAAGAGAGTAACAGGTGCTCCCGAGTTTCTGTCTAACACAGATCTCGTTACCACCTTCTCCCCCCATCGTCTACGGAGTTTCGTAGGAGGGAGGGGGGGAAAAATCCAAAGAATCGATTTCATTAACGACAAAAAGCTGAAGTACAAAGCCAGTGAAATTCACGATGATTACGGCGCGAAAGGGTTACGGAGAAATCAGTTATTCGCCATCGGGATACGCGTGCAATTAATGCTCATGGTTTTCCATTTTATTCGTATACGAGCTGGTACATATGTACGTATAAAAACATG